AACCACAAAAACGAATGGAGTCATTAGCACTTATGGTTTTTAAATGGCACCCAGAATTATGTTGCACGAAGCACAATTTCACATCATTCTGGGTTCATTTGTGTGAAAACAAGGTCCAATCAGGCTGAAACGTTACAGGAAGGTAGAATATATTGAGTTGTAAGTGATCTGAACGTTTCATGATGATAGCACTTTCCTAAGGGGGTCAAACCATGTCCCAAAGGTCACCGGATCTGGTGTCACTTTAAAGAAGTAGTCCAGTTACACCTTTGTGGGCTTATAACTTGGCTTCTGAATATCCTAGAGAGGTCAGGTTTGTTTTAGAGTACTCCAATCAACAGCCCCCATTACCACAAAAAGGAATGGAGTCATTAGCACTTATGGTTTTTAAATGGCACCCAGAATTATGTTGCACGAAGCACAATTTCACATCATTCTGAGTTCATTTGTGTGAAAACAAGGTCCAATCGAGGCTGAAACGTTACAGGAAGGTAGAATCTATTGAGTTGTAAGTGATCTGAACGTTTCATGATGATCGCACATTCCTATAGGGGGTCAAACCATGTCCCAAAGGTCACCGGGCCTGGTGTCACTTTAAATAAGTAGTCCAGTTACACCTTTGTGGGCTTATAACTTGGCTTCTGAATATCCTAGAGAGGCCAGGTTTGTTTTAGAGTACTCCAATCAACAGCCCCCATTACCACGAAAAGGAATGGAGTCATTAGCACTTATGGTTTTTAAATGGCACCCAGATTTATGTTGCACGAAGCACAATTTCAAATCATTCTGAGTTCATTTGAGTGAAAACAAGGTCCAATCAGGCTGAAACGTTAGAGGAAGGTAGAATCTATTGAGTTGTAAGTGATCTGAACGTTTCATGATGATCGCATATTCCTATAGGGGGTCAAACCATGTCCCAAAGGTCACCGGGCCTGGTGTCACTTTAAAGAAGTAGTCCAGTTACACATTTGTGGGCTTATAACTTGGCTTCTGAATGTCCTAGAGAGATCAGGTTTGTTTTAGTGTACTCCAATCAACAGCCCCTACAACCACAAAAACGAATGGAGTCATTAGCACTTATGGTTTTTAAATGGCACCCAGAATTATGTTGCACGAAGCACAATTTCACATCATTCTGGGTTCATTTGTGTGAAAACAAGGTCCAATCAGGCTGAAACGTTACAGGAAGGTAGAATATATTGAGTTGTAAGTGATCTGAACGTTTCATGATGATAGCACTTTCCTAAGGGGGTCAAACCATGTCCCAAACGTCACCGGATCTGGTGTCAATTTAAAGAAGTAGTCCAGTTACACATTTGTGGGCTTATAACTTGGCTTCTGAATGTCCTAGAGAGATCAGGTTTGTTTTAGTGTACTCCAATCAACAGCCCCTACAACCACAAAAAGGAATGGAGTCATTAGCACTTATGGTTTTTAAATGGCACCCAGAATTAAGTTGCATGAAGCACAATTTCACATCATTCTGACTTCATTTATGTGAAAACAAGGTCCAATCAGGCTGAAACGTTACAGGAAGGTAGAATCTATTGAGTTGTAAGTGATCTGAACGTTTCATGATGATCGCACATTCCTATAGGCGGTCACACCATGTCCCAAAGGTCACCGGGCCTGGTGTCACTTTAAAGAAGTAGTCCAGTTACACCTTTGTGGGCTTATAACTTGGCTTCTGAATATCCTAGAGAGGTCAGGTTTGTTTTAGAGTACTCCAATCAACAGCCCCCATTACCACAAAAAGGAATGGAGTCATTAGCACTTATGGTTTTTAAATGGCACCCAGATTTATGTTGCACGAAGCACAATTTCACATCATTCTGAGTTCATTTGTGTGAAAACAAGGTCCAATCAGGCTGAAACGTTAGAGGAAGGTAGAATCTATTGAGTTGTAAGTGATCTGAACGTTTCATGATGATCGCACATTCCTATAGGGGGTCAAACCATGTCCCAAAGGTCACCGGGCCTGGTGTCACTTTAAAGAAGTAGTCCAGTTACACATTTGTGGGCTTATAACGTGGCTTCTGAATGTCCTAGAGAGATCAGGTTTGTTTTAGTGTACTCCAATCAACAGCCCCTACAACCACAAAAAGGAATGGAGTCATTAGCACTTATGGTTTTTAAATGGCACCCAGAATTATGTTGCACGAAGCACAATTTCACATCATTCTGGGTTCATTTGTGTGAAAACAAGGTCCAATCAGGCTGAAACGTTACAGGGAGGTAGAATCTATTGAGCTGTAAGTGATCTGAACGTTTCATGATGATAGGTCTTTCCTAAGGGGGTCAAACCATGTCCCAAACGTCACCGGATCTGGTGTCAATTTAAAGAAGTAGTCCAGTTACACATTTGTGGGCTTATAACTTGGCTTCTGAATGTCCTAGAGAGATCAGGTTTGTTTTAATTTACTCCAATCAACAGCCCCTAGAACCACAAAAAGGAATGGAGTCATTAGCACTTATGGTTTTTAAATGGCACCCAGAATTATGTTGCACGAAGCACAATTTCACATCATTCTGGGTTCATTTGTGTGAAAACAAGGTCCAATCAGGCAGAAACGTTACAGGAAGGTAGAATCTATTGAGTTGTAAGTGATCTGAACGTTTCATGATGATAGCACATTCCTAAGGGGGTCAAACCATGTCCCAAAGGTCACCGGATCTGGTGTCATTTTAAAGAAGTAGTCCAGTTACACCTTTGTGGGCTTATAACTTGGCTTCTGAATATCCTAGAGAGTTCAGGTTTGTTTTAGAGTACTCCAAATAACAGCCCCCATTACCACAAAAAGGAATGGAGTCATTAGCACTTATGGTTTTTAAATGGCACCCAGAATTATGTTGCACGAAGCACAATTTCACATCATTCTGGGTTCATTTGTGTGAAAACAAGGTCCAATCAGGCTGAAACGTTACAAGAAGGTAGAATCTATTGAGTTGTAAGTGATCTGAACGTTTCATGATGATCGCACATTCCTATAGGGGGTCAAACCATGTCCCAAAGGTCACTGGGCCTGGTGTCACTTTAAAGAAGTAGTCCAGTTACACATTTGTGGGCTTATAACTTGGCTTCTGAATGTCCTAGAGAGATCAGGTTTGTTTTAGTGTACTCCAATCAACAGCCCCTACAACCACAAAAAGGAATGGAGTCATTAGCACTTATGGTTTTCAAATGGCACCCAGAATTATGTTGCACGAAGCACAATTTCACATCATTCTGGGTTCATTTGTGTGAAAACAAGGTCCAATCAGGCTGAAACGTTACAAGAAGGTAGAATCTATTGAGTTGTAAGTGATCTGAATGTTTCATGATGATCACACATTCCTATAAGGGGTCAAACCATGTCCCAAAGGTCACCGGATCTGGTGTCAATTTAAAGAAGTAGTCCAGTTACACATTTGTGGGCTTATAACTTGGCTTCTGAATGTCCTAGAGAGATCAGGTTTGTTTTAGTGTACTCCAATCAACAGCCCCTACAACCACAAAAATGAATGGAGTCATTAGCACTTTTGGTTTTTAAATGGCACCCAGAATTATGTTGCACGAAGCACAATTTCACATCATTCTGGGTTCATTTGTGTGAAAACAAGGTCCAATCAGGCTGAAACGTTACAGGAAGTTAGAATCTGTTGAGTTGTAAGTGATCTGAACGTTTCATGATGATAGCACTTTCCTAAGGGGGTCAAACCATGTCCCAAAGGTCACCGGATCTGGTGTCAATTTAAAGAAGTAGTCCAGTTACACCTTTGTGGGCTTATAACTTGGCTTCTGAATATCCTAGATTGTTCAGGTTTGTTTTAGAGGACTCCAATTAACAGCCCCCATTACCACAAAAAGGAATGGAGTCATTAGCACTTATGGTTTTTAAATGGCACCCAGAATTATGTTGCACGAAGCACAATTTCACATCATTCTGGGTTCATTTGTGTGAAAACAAGGTCCAATCAGGCAGAAACGTTACAAGAAGGTAGAATCTATTGAGTTGTAAGTGATCTGAACGTTTCATGATGATCGCACATTCCTATAGGGGGTCAAACCATGTCCCAAAGGTCACCGGGCCTGGTGTCACTTTAAAGAAGTATTCCAGTTACACATTTGTGGGCTTATAACTTGGCTTCTGAATATGAGGCCAGAACAGTCTCAATAAGAATTAAGTCACACAACGTTTTCCACAAATGCACACGTTCATTCGGAAATCCACATTCTGTGTTTCACAAATATAATTCGGAGGAACACAAATGCACACGCACATTCGGAAATTCACACTCTTTGACTCATAAATATAATGTGAAAAAATAAGTCACGCAACATTTTACACAAATGCACACGCTAATTCTGAAGTTCACACTCTATGGTTCACAAATATAATTTGTAAGAACACTTGTAATATAAACTCAGATCATACGACTTGCTGAATGTGCATTTACGAACAGCTTCTCATTTGTGAACCTTTCTGCGTTTGTGAGTGAAATCTGTGTGGTGCATTCACGGACAGCTTCTCATTTGTGAACCTTCCTGCATTCGTGAGAGAAATTGGTGTGCTGAATTTTGAGACTCTCCTAGCGTCGCAGGTCAACAAACTTCACCATTGGCTAATGAACCTGTCAATCAAATATATGCTTCTGCCAGGGCTGTTCGCTTTCAGCCAATCATATGGCTCTGCTGTGCGCATGCGCATTGCAGTTCACACGGCAGAGCGGGATGGACCGGTCACAACAATCTGTGAGTAATAGTTTTATCTTATTCCCTCGTTGTAATTTATGCAATGTTATAGAATTATGAGTAGAAGCGTTCTTCATGGTCAAGTAAAATGTTTTATGTTAAATTCAGTCCAGACGTTACGTGAAGTCTGGTCCATTCTTCATCTAGTTTAACATCAAGCTAAACTCAAGTGAACATTTGTTTAGTTAGCGTGTCTAGGTACCATTTTTTTTAGGCCACGGTTGTCAAACTCAAGGCCTTGGTCTATTTTTATTTGCCCCCCGAAATCAAATATCAAATATATAATATTAAACTGGCCCGCCGGGCGATTTTGCTGATAAGACTACTAATCCCATAGTGCTTTGCGGCGTTAGCGCGCGAGACGAAGCAAGCCCTCTTTTATGTTTACGATCATTAGCATCCATGCTAGTAGAATCAGTGTGTGCAGCGTTACCCTCAGTCTTAAACAACTGAAGATACTCCTCTAAGCACCCAGTTTACTCAGCGAGTTTCCGACTTTGAACGCCTAGAAAGAAGGTATCTGGCTGGAACAGGTGACCATCAGAGTGGAGCGAACTGAGCTTGAAACATTTAATTGTCATGCACTTTTTCTGCTCCAAAGCATGAACGTTAATAACTGAGATATTTTCATAGAAGATAATTGCTATTTTTGGTTTTCACAGATCTTAACTTATTTAATTATCTAACATGTTATTGTATGGCTGTTGTACCTTTCATTTGGTAATTGATTGTTTTGGCCCATATAAAAATGTGTCATATGAGAGTGTTTGTGCTTGAATTACATAGATCATGTACCTGAAGGTAGCTGACAACAACCGGGCAGACACCCACCTTGCCTTCTTCAGTGAAGCTGTGAATGAGCATGGCTTTCCTCTGAGGTATTCATGTTATTCCCAACTTTACCCTCTGTTACCCTGTTACAAATCTGCTTTTGCCTAAAGTGTGTTATTGACCAAAGATAACATGCCATTTGAGGTCATATTGTAAAATCTATGGGGGGGGGGGGGGGGGTGAACATTTCCCTCTTTCAAAAAAAATTTCCCCAGCAGAGGGTTAATAATGCCACATTGTTTACTCACTTAGTAGCAAGGTACATAAGGAAATTTCTGTGAGACTAAAATTGATGTAGATTGTTATAGATGTGCATTAAAAATGTTTGAAGCAAGATTCTAATGTTTTTTTTTTCATGGTGAGAGGAGATCATGGCGGAGAAAATGTAGGTGTTGCAGAATTAATGTTCTCAGTTCGTGGAACTGACACCAACAGCTTCATTGCAGGAAAAAGTGTACACAATCAACGGTGAGTTTAACCTAATTTGGAAGCTTTGTGTCTGTGCGCGCATGCCTGTGCCTGTTGACGTGCCCAGGGTGTACCCTTCGTCTCACACTGTGACTGCTGAAGATAGGCACCAGTCCCCCTGCGACCATTCAAAAGATAACTCAAGTTGAAAACGGATGTATGGACATGTAAATGTGTGTGTATATTATAATTTTCTTTTATTTAATCCCCCTCCAAATCCAGGATCGAGTGCCTCTGGCGTGATGTCTTCATGAGTGTTACTGGCTTATATTACAACATCCTGCACTCTCTGGAAGACCAAGACTTGCTCGACATCAGTAACATCCTTCACCTGTTTTGTTGCCACTATATTGTCTCGCATCCAGGCCAGCCTGGATGTCTTTAGAGATGCGTGGGACAACCATCCAATCAGGACAGAGGAAAACATGACACCAAATCAGCTGTGGCATCTGGGCCAGGCTCTGAATCCTGTTTCTGATCCAGGGGCAAATGTATGTTCTGTTAAAACGACTGATCACATGTCAAGTTGATCCTTAACTAAAAATCAAATGTTCAACACTTTGATAATCTACCTCTGCACTATGCTTCTTGGATTCAAGACAAAATGGCTGTTGAAATTACAGTTCTGTTTGTGTGCACCTCTACTGAAGTGGACACTGTCAACTATAATGTCATGACATTACAAAGTCATGACACATCTGCAAGTTCAAATTTCAAGGCATTAGACCTTCCAGATGTGATATTCTCACTGCTATTTTAACATAAAAGTAGCCCATTAATTAAAAAAATAATAATTTATGAAATAATGGAGATGCTAGGTTCTGCCTGACATCATTGATGTTAAGTAATTGTTAAAAGGTCGTGATAGGGCTTTATTAAATGTGTTTTCTTGAGATTTATTATGCACAGTGCTCATACACACTTTCTTTTTCCAGGGTATACCGGTACCAGAGATTGAATGGGAGGAGAATGGATACATGACTGAACCTCATCCTGGGATCAGTGTCCCTGTACTGGACAGTCCTCTTTCAGATCATGAAATGTTGGAACTGCAGGACAACATAATCCTTTGCAACATTCAGACTCTTGGGAGTGGACATATATCTTCACACTGTCCAGTATGTTGAGAACTTACTTGAGGCTAGATGATTACATGTGTGAAGAAGGAAGGAGAGAGAAGGTAGGGAGTTAGGAAGAAAGAAAACAATTAATGAGACAGGAAGGAAGGAAGTTAAAAAGTGAAGGAGTGGTCCATTTTAAGGTTAATGTACTGTATATTGTTATTCAAGGGATTAACCTTTGTAAATATGAAATGCTAAAGGATAGACCCCAAAATAGATTTCTAAATTCATTTATAGTTGTGTATTCCCTTAAAGGCTTTATCAGCCTGATTTATTTTAGACCAGGAATGTATTTGAAAAGGCTGCTGTCCACTTCATCTATGCTACAATTCTTCAAAATGTAGATGTTCTATCATTGCTAGTGTTGGTTTAGTAACATACATCTTCCTGTGTATCCAGCTCTAATAAAAACATTTAAAGGTGAAGCACCTACTTATCAGGAGATCCATTTATTTTTACATGTTATTGTTTGAATTTTGTCTCGTTTCATAACTTTTGCTCAACATTTAAGGGGAACTGTGTTACCCTGCGATCATCTTCATTACACTTGAAAACTTGTACTATACCTCCGTCCGTCTACTTATTAAATGGAATAACATGACAAGATTCTATCTACTGGTTTTTTGATCAAGGGATGATTAGGTGTTGTGAGAAGATTCTCTATGCTACTGAGTCTGTGTTAAGTTGCAACTGGACACACATACCCACACACAGTTTGTTCATTTGTTCTCAGAATGAGAATAATGTCTTTTACAATTAAAACGTTTTTTTTCTTGATGTCACTGAAGGCTGTGTTAGAAATATATGCAGCTCATTAAAAGGAAAAGTAACTGATGTAACCAAAAGCCTGAACTCAGGAGAATAGAGACACCTGCCAAGATAAAGAGCTGGAGCTTTTGCTCCTTTTCAGAGTCACTCCCATGGAATAGGCCGGATGATTTACTAGCTTATCTTACCTTCTCTGCAGACAATGTCTAATATGAGCTTCAAGAGGTCTCTGCCCCTAACGGGGTTTGCTTTCACTTAGTAAAAATGCATAATTTTTCAGAATAAGATTATTAAGAGGCCACCCATAGGGTGGAGCGTTGGTAATGTAATGTAACCGGTTAGATTTGTGTCCGACTTGACGCCGACTTGCTCTGACATCATGCATACGTAGGCAACGATAACCACTTGAGATCAAGGCGGCCGCAGATTTTGCAGTTGTTCTCCCTTGGCTGCAAAACCTAGGGGATGACGGGAAATGCCTGGCTCTCACCTGATCTAAGATCTGATCGGTTCATATTTTGATCCAAACATCCGGTGGTAGAACATGAAATGTTAGTTGTTCACGTGTATTCTGTAAATCATGTAACGTTAATGATGACAACTATATAGGCCATAAAGAGAAATGTGTTTTGTGTTCTTTTGTCACGTTTCCTATGAGCACAATGAAGCTACAGCTGATAACCTTTACTTATTATTACAGTCATGTTTTCATATTCGATATATGATATCCAAAAGCACGTGAGGATGTGTTTCAGCCGCTAACAGGCACCAGAATTAAAATTGAAAATTAAACAAGTGTGAACGCTAACGCGATATCTTCAGCCATCGTCAGCCCCGAGCTACACATGTAGGAAATTGTGTCCGACTTATGCGCACAGCAGATCTGTTCTGTAACATAAGGAGCCATATGATTGGCTGAAAGCGAACAGCCCTGGCAGAATCATATATTTGATTGACAGATTCATTAGCCAATGGTGACGTTTGTTGACCTGGAGGGGTGTGATTGGGAGGAACGGCCCACCTGATCAGAACTCGAGCGGTGTTTTGTTATTGGACTTCTGTGCAAGCCGCAGTTTGGCCATAACGAACACCATGTTCGAACATAAGGATGCCCACCGGTACACTTGGTACCAGGGCAGCCTAGGTCACAGGTCGATGATAGATTTTGTAGTCGTATCATCTGACCTGCGACCGTATGTTTTGGACACCCGAGTGAAGAGAGGGGCGGAGCTGTCAACTGATCACCACCTGGTGGTGAGTTGGATCAGATGGCAAGGGAACATGCCGCGTAGACCTGGCAGACCCAAACGCATAGTGAGGGTCTGCTGGGAACGCCTGGCAGAAGAACCTGTCAAGACGGTCTTCAACTCCCACCTCCGGCAGAGCTTTGACCACGTCCCGAGAGCAGTGGGGGACATTGAGTCCGAGTGGGCCTTGTTCCACTCTGCGATTGTCGAGGCGGCTGTTGCTAGCTGTGGTCGTAAGGTGGCCGGTGCCAGTCGTGGTGGCAACCCCCGTACCTGCTGGTGGACACCAGAGGTTCGGGGAGCCGTCAGACTGAAGAAGGAGGCCTACAGGGCGTGGCTGGTCTGTGGGTCTCCGGAGGCAGCAGACAGGTACCGGATAGCCAAGCGGGGTGCAGCAGTGGCAGTTGCCGAGGCAAAATCTCGGGCGTGGGAGGAGTTTGGTGAGGCCATGGAGAAAGACTATCGATCGGCTCCAAAGAGGTTCTGGCAAACTGTCCGGCGCCTCAGGAGAGGAAGGCAGCAACTCGCTCACACTGTTTACAGTGGGGATGGGGAGCTGCTGACGTCAACTGAGGCTATAGTCGGATGGTGGAAGGAATACTTTGAGGAGCTCCTCAATCCCACCAATGCGCATTCCGAGGAGGAACCAGAGCTGGGAGGCCTGGGGATGGACTGTCCGATCTCGGGGGCAGAAGTTGCTGAGGTAGTCAAACAACTACACAGCGGCGGAGCCCCGGGGGCGGATGAGGTTCGTCCTGGGTATCTCAAGGCTATGTATGTTGTAGGGCTGTCATGTTTGACACGTCTCTACAACATTGCGTGGTCATCGGGGGCAGTTCCTAGGGAGTGGCAGACCGGGGTGGTGGTCCCCATCTTTAAGAAGGGTGACCTGAGGGTGTGTTCCAACTATAGGGGGATCACACTCCTCAGCCTCCCTGGAAAGGTCTACTCCAAGGTACTGGAGAGGAGGGTCCGATCGATAGTTGAATCTCAGATAGAGGAGGAGCAATGTGGTTTTCGTCCTGGCCGTGGAACTGTGGACCAGCTCTATACCCTTGCAAGGGTGATGGAGGGGGCATGGGAGTTTGCCCAACCAATCCACATGTGCTTTGTGGATTTGGAGAAGGCTTATGACCGTTTCCCCAGGGGCACCCTGTGGGGGACGCTCCAGGAGTATGGGGTGGGTGGCTTTCTGTTAAGGGCCATTCAGTCCCTTTACCAGAGGAGCGTGAGTTTGGTCCGCATAGCCGGTAGTAAGTCGGACCTGTTCCCAGTGAGGGTTGGACTCCGCCAGGGCTGCCCTTTGTCACCGGTTCTGTTCATCACTTTTATGGACAGAATTTCTAGACGCAGCCGTGGTGTGGAGTGTGTCGAGTTTGGTGGCAGGAGAATCTCGTCTCTGCTTTTTGCGGATGATGTGGTCCTCCTAGCTTCATCCAGCTCTGACCTTCAGCTCTTGCTGGGTAGGTTCGCGGCCGAATGTGAAGCGGCTGGGATGAGGATCAGCACCTCCAAATCTGAGACCATGGTTCTCGACCGGAAAAGGGTGGCTTGCCACCTCCGGGTCGGGGGAGAGGTCCTACCTCAAGTGGAGGAGTTTAAGTATCTCGGGGTCTTGTTCACTAGTGAGGGTAGGAGGGATCGGGAGATCGACAGGCGGATTGGTTCGGCGTCTGCAGTGATGCGGACGCTGAGCCGATCTGTCGTGGGGAAGAGGGAGCTGAGCCAGAAAGCCAGGCTCTCGATTTACCGGTCGATCTACGTCCCAATCCTCACCTATGGTCATGAGCTTTGGGTAATGACCGAAAGAACGAGATCGCGGATACAAGCGGCCGAAATGAGTTTCCTCCGTAGGGTGGCCGGGCTCAGCCTTAGAGATAGGGTGAGGAGCTCGGACATTCGGGAGGGACTCGGAGTAGAACCGCTGCTCCTCCGGATCGAAAGGAGCCAGTTGAGGTGGTTTGGGCATCTGGTCAGGATGCCTCGTGGACGCCTCCCTGGGGAGGTGTTTCGGGCATGTCCTGCCGGCAGAAGGCCCCCAGGTCGACCCAGGACACGTTGGAGAAGTTACATCTCCAATCTGGTCCGGGAACGCCTTGGGGTCCTGCCGGAGGAGCTGGTGGACAAGGCCGGGGAGAGGACGGCCTGGAGCTCCCTAGTTGGGATGCTGCCCCCGCGACCCGGACCCGGATAAGCGGAGGAAGACGAGACGAGACGAGACGTTTGTTGACCTGCGACGCTAGGAGAGTCTCAAAATTCAGCACACCGATTTCTCTCACGAATGCAGGAAGGTTCACAAATGAGAAGCTGTCCGTGAATGCACATTCAGCAATTTGTATGATCTGAGTTTATATTACAAGTGTTCTTACAAATTATATTTGTGAACCACAGAGTGTGAACTTCAGAATTAGCGTGTGCATTTGTGTAAAATGTTGCGTGACTTATTTTTTCACATTATATTTATGAGTCAAAGAGTGTGAATTTCCGAATGTGTGTGTGCATTTGTGTTCCTCCGAATTATATTTGTGAAACACAGAATGTGGATTTCCGAATGAACGTGTGCATTTGTGGAAAACGTTGTGTGACTTAATTCTTATTGAGACTGTTCTGGCCTCATATCTGAATGTCCTAGAGAGATCAGGTTTGTTTTAGTGTACTCCAATCAACAGCCCCTACAACCACAAAAAGGAATGGAGTCATTAGCACTTATGGTTTTCAAATGGCACCCAGAATTATGTTGCACGAAGCACAATTTCACATCATTCTGGGTTCATTTGTGTGAAAACAAGGTCAAATCAGGCTGAAACGTTACAAGAAGGTAGAATCTATTGAGTTGTAAGTGATCTGAATGTTTCATGATGATCGCACATTCCTATAAGGGGTCAAACCATGTCCCAAAGGTCACCGGATCTGGTGTCAATTTAAAGAAGTAGTCCAGTTACACATTTGTGGGCTTATAACTTGGCTTCTGAATGTCCTAGAGAGATCAGGTTTGTTTTAGTGTACTCCAATCAACAGCCCCTACAACCACAAAAAGGAATGGAGTCATTAGCACTTATGGTTTGTAAATGGCACCCAGAATTATGTTGCACGAAGCACAATTTCACATCATTCTGGGTTCATTTGTGTGAAAACCAGGTCCAATCAGAGAGAAACATTACAGGAAGCTAGAATCTGTTGAGTTGTAACTGATCTGAACGTTTCATGATGATAGCTCTTTCCTAAGGGGGTCAAACCATGTCCCAAAGGTCACCGGATCTGGTGTCAATTTAAAGAAGTAGTCCAGTTACACATTTGTGGGCTTATAACTTGGCTTCTGAATGTCCTAGAGAGATCAGGTTTGTTTTAGTTTACTCCAATCAACAGCCCCTACAACCACAAAAAGGAATGGAGTCATTAGCACTTATGGTTTTTAAATGGCACCCAGAATTATGTTGCACGAAGCACAATTTCACATCATTCTGGGTTCATTTGTGTGAAAACAAGGTCCAATCAGGCTGAAACGTTACAAGAAGGTAGAATCTATTGAGTTGTAAGTGATCTGAACGTTTCATGATGATCGCTCATTCCTATAGGGGGTCAAACCATGTC